TTTTATATATCTTGCATTTTTTTTGGTATCTTGTTGTCACCCCCCAAATAGTTTCACCCCCGCCCCCCGCGACGCCTCTGGTATGTATTACGACATATTCTCAAGTATTATTTTCACGAATGATAAAACTGTATAGAGTAATACTGTATAAAACACATTGAACATAATATTTTAAAGTTTTAAAAAAAATCTACAGAAGTAAACTTTACACCTTTAAAAAAAAAGACCAACTCCATTATTCTTGAAGTTTTTCAACTCAAGCATTTAGGGTACTCGGCTAGAGCTGTAGATGAAAACTCGCCTAATTGAGTTTCATGTACAGCCTCATTAGTGGCAAGTTGACAATTATTTTAATTAAGAGAACTCAATAGTTGCTCACTTCATTAAGGCTGAGAACAGTGTAAGCGGTGCGACACATGTTTTAAACAAGACATTCAGGTCACCCCATTACAGGTGGGGCAGTGTGGAATGGTTTCTTGATGGGGGGGGGGGGGGGCTGTTATGAATGAGCCAGAATTAAGTTTTAGTGTTAGAAAAATTTATGTTTTTTGGTAGCTAAGCTTTAGCGTTATTAAATTATGGTAAATAAGCTTTAGCGTTATAATTTAAAGGTATGGTTAAGTGTTATAATTTAGGCTTAGAGGTATGGTAACTCATGTTAAGTGATATAATTAATGTTTAGAGGTATGGCACTTAACGTTTGACACTAAAACAGATGGTAAGTAACTATCTTGTGCGAATTACGTATTGTTGTATGTTGATAAAAGCAAGTACATGCACGAGTCAACTTTATCAACTGTTGAAAAAAAGATGATGATAAACGCTTACATCTACTGTACGGAAGTTATACACTTAAATTGTATGTGTACAGTTAAGTGTTTATGTTCAACAAACTCTATATTTACATGTAATTGTATGTGTACATGTACCTGTACGTAAGCATATAAATGTATGTGTACATGTAACTGTATGTGTACATGTACCTGTATGTGTACATGTACCTGTATGTGTAAATATACCTGTATGTGTACATATACCTGTATGTGAGCATATAACTGTATGTGTACATGTAACTGTATGTGTACTTGTACCTGTATGTGTACATATACCTGTATGTGTACATATACCTGTATGTGAGCATATAACTGTATGTGTACATGTAACTGTATGTGTACTTGTACCTGTATGTGTACATATACCTGTATGTGTACATGTACCTGTATGTGAGCATATAACTGTATGTGTACATACACCTGTATATGAGCATATAACTGTACCATATGTATATCTGCATATATCGTAGAAGTGCTAAAATTCTAATTAGTATAGAGATAGAAACCTGACACGCTTGAAAACGAAATTCCTAATTATGTATGCTAATAGAGCAATTGCCTTATTAATAAGTTAATTAATGGAGACCTGTTGATTAAATTGCATAATTGGTCGTGAGTAACATATTTACTTTGTCAGGGCAAATTTCACAAGGGCAACCATGTGTGCTTATTTGGTGTAAGTGTGAGTATGTGGTGTGTATGTATGTGTGTGTATGTGTGGATGTAAGGGTATGTAGTGTGTAAGTGTAAGTATACGGTGTGTATGTATGTGTATTTATGTGTGGATGTAAGGGTATGTATTGTGTAAGTGTGAGTATACGGTGTGTATGTATGTGTACGTATGTGTGTATGATTATGTAAGGGTATGTATTGTGTAAGTGTATGTGTATGAAAGTGTGTATGTAATTACAAGTATCAGTGAATTTGTGTAAGTGTATGTATGTGCATGAATGTATAAATGTATGTCTAAGTGTATATATAAGTGTATGTATGTCTGTGCATGATGAATATATGTCTATGCCAATGCATGTTTGAGTGCTATTTTAAAATGGGTGCAACAGTATTATGTGTATGTATAGTTGAAACCCTCCCACTAATATGATGTTACATACCTTCAACTCAGCGATCACTTGTGGTAGACAGAAAAACTTGGTGTTCCTGTAAAAGAAAAAAAAATTGTTTCATGTATATAAATATCTAGTTTTGTTCTTAAACGTGATTCTCAACAAAAATTCTCATTACCTTAATGACCCCCCCCCCCCATCAACTTTCATCACCCTAGCATTTATGATCGCCTTCGAGACCACACTCATTCCCCTCCCCATGTTTTCCCCCCTACATCTTTGCGCAAATAACTAATGACCATTCTGGTGTCACTTGGATTCGATCTCGAACTTTTCTCTCTAACCTTTAGTTCGTTTAGTCGCTTCCAACACAACAGGTGACAATTTTAATTAAACTAAACTCATTAGAGCCTGCACGTCTACTTCGCCAGGTAAACAGCGACATAGTTAATTAAATCGTACGAAATGCTAGAAAACTTAGAAGTCTGAGGTCCAGTTTTTTTAAATTAATGACTCAGCTAATTAACCAGTGCCCAGGTCATGACCTGTAGGGGCAAACAATCGGGCAGACGGCGATTGATTTTGGATATTTTATATTTCTAACAGCAGACGAGTCGGATAGTAAATAAATAATGGGATTTTCCCGATTAATAATACAGTAGGAGAAGTGATACATTTTGTTGGGTCAGCTAAAAATAGATTTTTTTTCCTCTTCTTTTTTGGTTGTAGGTTGACAGACAGGGGCGACTACTCAAGATGGAAAGTTCAGACAAAGGAAGGGGAAATAATTCATGCACGGAAGTCACAGTTTGGTGATTAATGTAAATGATACGTCAGTATGAGGCGGGTGTCTAGCGGATGGGTATGGGGTTGGGGGGGGGGGGGGGTAGATCAGAAAGGGTGACGTTAAAGGGTGCGCTTGTGTGTGGGGTGGGGGGGGGTCATGTCGACAGTTGTAAGGGATAGACCTATATTTAGACAATACCGTACTGGGCCATCTAGATTTTGGACATAAAACCGACACTTTTGGGCCATCTAGATTTCCGATAAATCGACATATTTTGGGCTCCAAGGTCTAATACAACGCTCGGTATTTTTAGAAGATCTAGATTTTTTTCGACAGGGACCGACAACTCTGTCGAACACGACTATCATTTTACACGAAGACGCTTGCCCAATTTGGTGATTGCTTCCCCTTGTTGATACTGCAGTCTTGTTCGAATAGAAAAAAAAAAGGGGGGGGGTGGTTTTTTTTCTTCTGTTCCAAGTTTAGTTTTCATGATTTCGTTATCGTTGATATCGTGTTAATTCTCTCCCTTTATTTCTTCTATTCCTATAAGGTATAGGACCGAGAGTATAGGACCGAGGGTATAGGACCGAGGGTATAGGACCTAGGGTATAGGACCGAGGGTATAGGACCGAGGTTATAGGACCGAGGGTATAGGACCTAGGGTATAGGACCTAGGGTATAGGACCTAGGGTATAGGACCGAGTCACACGATTTGTCCTGGTGGGTATAGGACCGAGTCACACGATTTGTCCTGGTGGGTATAGGACCTAGGGTATAGGACCGAGGGTATAGGACCGAGGGTATAGGACCTAGGGTATAGGACCTAGGGTATAGGACCGAGTCACACGATTTGTCCTGGTGGGTATAGGACCGAGTCACACGATTTGTCGTACATTTTATAGTACATACCATGACAATCACATCTCTCTTTCAAATGATTTCCGACTGCAAATGTTTATCTCCCCTCGTCCCTAACCCACAGGGAACCATTTAAAAAAAAACATTGTTTGATTGAGAAGTATGAAGTTACGTTTATATTATATTCAGGTTACATCACAGAAAAGTATATTTCTTATCACTGTAAAATCGAATAAGTAAGGCAAAGGTCAAAACTCAAATAAAAGTTTTAGAAAGTGGTCGAGTCAGAATGGATTAAATTTAAAAAAAAAATGGATAAAAGGAAAAGATAATTCTCTCCACTATCCCGGATGTTGCCTGATTATCTTGTCTTTTCTGTGAAGGCAGTGATTGGTGCAATTTTGTAATTTTATTTCAGTCGAACTATTATTGGTCATTGTAAGAAGCTAGCTACATTTAGCCATTATTTAGTCAGTCCACGCTCTTTTAAAAGTTATTTGAAGTTTTGGGTTTGATGTTAACATTTAAAAAAAAAAAACAAGATCAAGGTTTTCTGATTTTTTTTTTTCAAATTTGAGAATTATCTTTGTAAACTTAAAATGGCACCTGAACTTTTGTTATATAACTGTATAAAGACAAGGCTACACCAGGGTAAATGATATATTGGGTCACGTGGCGTATAACACAAATATCTGAATTTTCTCCATGCATGTCCTAATTGTTATACATTCCCATTTTCTCAACGTTATACTGTCCCATTTTCTTATGTTATACAGTCCCATTTTTGAGTTATACAGTCCCATTTTCACAATGTTAGAGGGGGTCCCATTTTTGTATATTCAAGTGGTCAGAGAAAGATAGATTAGAAGGAAGTAATTGGGCGTTTGTAGGCTGGACATATAGGTTTGGTCTGACGTAGTAAACTAATCTTTTTAATGAAATATTTAACTCACATGATTCACAATTAGCAATCTGCGTTACAAGGATTCCATATTTTAAGATGGGAAAAAAGTATGCTATGTTTAAAGATGTGTTGTAACATTTACGAGTGTCTGAGTTTATAATACATCAAAGTGTTATTAAACTTTGCTTGTTTGTGGTTTTATATCTTTTCATCTTCATACACTCGAATAGTTATATATATATATATATATATATATATATATATATATATATATATATATATATATATATAATATGTTTGTATACGTTTTATATTGGTAAACATTAGCTTCACACAGCTACTAGCGATCGTAATACACCAGCATATAAAGGGAGAACATTTTTTTTGTACGATGAGATTTTTAAAGGATAAAACCAACCTTGACTGTTGAACAATCAGAGTAGAGAAAAAATGAGGTTAATTGATATCGTGTAATTGCTGTTAGAAAACGCTGAGATAATTGTCGTCTGCTACAATCTGCTGCTGGCGGTGTCGTCTTAGCAGACGATAAGATGGCGGGTATGTTGTGTGATGGTAGAGACAACTTGTGTGATGGTAGAGACTTGTGTGATGGTAGAGACAACTTGTGTGATGGTAGAGACAACTTGTGTGATGGTAGAGACCACTTGTGTGATGGTAGAGACTTGTATGATGGTAGAGACAACTTGTGTGATGGTAGAGACCACTTGTGTGATGGTAGAGACAACTTGTGTGATGGTAGAGACAACTTGTGTGATGGTAGAGACCACTTGTGTGATGGTAGAGACTTGTATGATGGTAGAGACAACTTGTGTGATGGTAGAGACCACTTGTGTGATGGTAGAGACAACTTGTGTGATGGTAGAGACCACTTGTGTGATGGTAGAGACTTGTGTGATGGTAGAGACCACTTGTGTGATGGTAGAGACAACTTGTGTGATGGTAGAGACCACTTGTGTGATGGTAGAGACAACTTGTGTGATGGTAGAGACAACGTGTGTGATGGTAGAGAATTGTGTGATGGTAGAGATGACTAGTGTGATGGTAGAGACAACTTGTGTGATGGTAGAGAATTGTGTGATGGTAGAGATGACTAGTGTGATGGTAGAGACAGCTTGTGTGATGGAAGAGACAACTTGTGTGATGGTAGAGACAACTTGTGGGATGGTAGAGACTTGTATGATGGTAGAGACTTGTGTGATGGTAGAGACTTGTGTGATGGTAGAGACTTGTGTGATGGTAGAGACAACTTGTGTGATGGTAGAGACAACTTGTGTGATGGTAGAGACTTGTATGATGGTAGAGACTTGTATGATGGTAGAGACTTGTATGATGGTAGAGACAACTTGTGTGATGGTAGAGACTTGTGTGATGGTAGAGACTTGTATGATGGTAGAGACAACTTGTGTGATGGTAGAGACAACTTGTGTGATGGTAGAGACTTGTATGATGGTAGAGACAACTTGTGTGATGGTAGAGACAACTTGTGTGATGGTAGAGACAACTTGTGTGATAGTAGAGACTTGTGTGATGGTAGAGACTTGTGTGATGGTAGAGACAACTTGTGTGATGGTAGAGACAACTTGTGTGATGGTAGAGAATTGTATGATGGTAGAGACTTGTGTGATGGTAGAGAATTGTGTGATGGTAGAGACTTGTGTGATGGTAGAGACTTGTATGATGGTAGAGACTTGTGTGATGGTAGAGACTTGTGTGATGGTAGAGACAACTTGTGTGATGGTAGAGACTTGTGTGATGGTGGAGACAACTTGTGTGATGGTAGAGAATTGTGTGATGGTAGAGACGTGTGTGATGGTAGAGACAACTTGTGTGATGGTAGAGACTTGTGTGATGGTGGAGACAACTTGTGTGATGGTAGAGACTTATTTGTGTCGTAATGTGTGCAGTATGTTTGGTGGGAGTGTTAACAGTGTGTTTTATGGTTGCTATAGACGCCATCGAGTTAAAGTGTTCAACCATCTAGTCTAGGAAATCCGTACATTTAATTTACATTACATTGCCTATAGGCTGTACAAATCAAAATCACATGGATCTTGTTCACTATAGTAGACTTTAATGCCTGTTTTACTTGTAACAATTAAACAAGTAATTAAGTCACGATGTGGAGTTTATGGAATGATTGAGTTTTGATGGAATGGAAAAAGGGGCTATAACCTTAATGCGTGGTCTTATCGTAATGATGGCTACATAAATTATTTTATCAGGTGGGTGCCTACATAATGGGGAACGTGTGTGGGCAAGTGTGAAGTATGTGGTGTGTTGGGGTTGGACGAGTGGGGAGGGGGTGGACGTGTGGGGGTGGGTGGGGGTTTGAGGAGTGGGGGGGGGGGGGGGTGTGGGGTGGAGGAGTGGAGGGGTTGGAGGTTTTAATGTAATCTTTTTCAACGTGCATGTCTGACACAGATGACAGTCATACACTACGTGCTGGAGTGGTATTGTAAAGGGTGAATTAATGATTAGCTTATGTGTAGGATGTTTACAGTACTCTGTATACAGACTATGGTAAACAGCAAGTAATGTAAGATGGGCTTATTCGTGTTGAAATCATTGAACATGGACTCGCCACAAGCCAACACAACTTTGGGGGAACCATACAGAGAGACAAGCCAACAGAGTTTTTTTCAGGCATCTTTTCGGGGGTGCTCCAAAAATATCAAGTGCCCCCCCCCCCGGAGAAAAAAGTCTGAAAGAAACACTTCAAGCCAACACAACTTTGGGAGAACCATAGAGGGAGACAAATGTAGTGCATGCACAGATCTGCTGGCGATACAATGCCACCCACTGTAAAACAGTAACAACCCAGTTGGTTTTATGGCTAGAATACAATAAGGCTTCAACAGCGCATTAGATTGGCTTGAAATAAGAGCAGCATTGCCAAGCTGGGGATGGGGGTGGGGGGTGGGGGGACTGGTAGCCGGGTACAGAACGGTGGGGTACGAGTTACCCTGGGGTAGAAGATAAGCCTGGCGAGAACCAAAGGACAGAAGAGACCGATAAACGGTAATCAAACCGATACCCAAGCCAGTTAGTTGGAGTTTGCCGTGTTGAGGCCTGCCTGGCTAATGGGAGACACCTCATGAGCCGGTGATGTTCATATAGAAAGAAAAAAAGCTAGAAATAAATGCGGGGGTAATGGAAATAGATCTGGTAAACTAGAAATGTGTCATTGAAAGCTATTTAGAATGAGCGATGTCGAACCATTTGTCTCAAATGAAAGAAAACGGCCACATCAATGTAAACTATTTTTAGGTTAATTAAAAATACAAAAATCTTTCTGTTGTAGGTGTCTCCAGTTCAGATCCATTCGTCATTTCAAGTTTTAATTCGTTTTTTTTAAACCAGAGCAGGTGGGGGCGCTAATGGCTGTCGTTAGGTCAACACGGTGCAAGTCTGGTGTATAGTCAGGGGGAGAAGGAGATGGGTACAGGGAGTTTAGTAAGGGAGGGTGGGGTGGGGGGTGGGGGGAGGGTGAGTAAAACAGTCAGAGTGTAGGTGTAGGTATGTAAGTAAATTAGGTTTTTGTAGGAATAGAAGTAAATTAGGTTTTTGTAGGAATAGAAGTAAATTAGGTTTTTGTAGGAATAGAGGTAAATAAGGTTTTTGTAAATGTGGTCGTATATAAATAAATTAGGTATTTGCAATGGTGGGGTACGTAAGTAAATTAGTTAAGAGTTTTGTGTCAGAGTGGGGGTCTGTAAGTCAAATAGTGCTACAATCAATAACATGAAGGATTTGAAATCTGATTTGAATGTAAGTTAATTTTATCTCCCTTACTACAAAACTAATCAGTCATACATGAATTTCAGCGTCAGACTGTCATAAGTTTGAATGGTGAAGATTGTGTGAATCATGCCGCGTGTTTCAGAGCGCTATCACGCCTTGACTTGACAGAATTATTGAGCTAAACTTTATCGAACCACTCGTCAAACTTGATCGAACTACTGGTCTGGTCCCACAATGTTGGCAAATACTGTAGTAAAACGTTAGATCGCTTTAACCGTGATGGATAATAAATATTATATTAACCAATCAATCGCTTTCATTATTATATAGCCAATTGATTAGGGATTAAAGGCTGTAGGACAAAAGGCCGACATTCAAAAGGCCGACAAGACAAAAGGCCGACTTGGACAAAAGGCCGACAGCCATAAGGCAGACAGCCAAAAGGGATCTTTGGGGTCCCCAATAAAGGGGTCTGTTTATGCCACCTGTACAGTTTCGAGTATACCGAAAGCTCTGAGAATTTCATTTATATTTTTTCTTTACGCTTCAATGGATCTGACGTCATGGTATGGTAGCATCTTCTTCATCTGACGAGATTATAGAAAAAAAAACATATCCACCGATTGATACTGGTGTTGTCTCCTAGGTGGCTTCAATTGTTGGATAATTCGATTTGTAATGATCTAAAACAATAGTACGTTTTATTTTTGTTCGATATTCTACTAGAACAGGCTTAGTTTTTTAAAAAAAACCCACTGGAAATACAATAACATTTTAAAAAAAACTTTATGCTATCAAGTCATAAAAAGGCGGTACCACTAAAACTCTTAAAACAACCTAGAGTTCAACTCTGCCCCACACATTAGAATGTAGAGTTCAACTCTGCCCTTACACATTAGAATGTAGAGTTCAACTCTGCCCTTACACATTAGAATGTAGAGTTCAACTCTGCCCTACACATTAGAATGTAGAGTTCAACTCTGCCCTTACACATTAGAATGTAGAGTTCAACTCTGCCCTTACACATTAGAATGTAGAGTTCAACTCTGCCCTACACATTAGAATGTAGAGTTCAACTCTGCCCTACACATTAGAATGTAGAGTTCAACTCTGCCCTTACACATTAGAATGTAGAGTTCAACTCTGCCCTACACATTAGAATGTAGAGTTCAACTCTGCCCTTACACATTAGAATGTAGAGTTCAACTCTGCCCTACACATTAGAATGTAGAGTTCAACTCTGCCCTACACATTAGAATGTAGAGTTCAACTCTGCCCTACACATTAGAATGTAGAGTTCAACTCTGCCCTACACATTAGAATGTAGAGTTCAACTCTGCCCTACACATTAGAATGTAGAGTTCAACTCTGCCCTACACATTAGAATGTAGAGTTCAACTCTGCCCTACACATTAGAATGTAGAGTTCAACTTTGTCCAACACAGCAGAATGTAGAGTTCAACTCTGCCCTACACATTAGAGTGTAAAGTTCAAGTCTGCCCCCCCACACACACACCCACACACCCACAATGTCCCTCACATCTCATCACAAAAATCCCACGTTGAAGCTTTTGAAAATCCCTCAGACGTTTGTTTAGCTCTGTAGTAAGTCTGATGGTAAATTTCACGGAAAACCCCATGTAAATCCCATGTAAATCCCATGAAACCCGGTGTTGTCAACATGTAATGAGACTGGATCATCATCTAGTCTGGTTTAGATGGAGAGGGACACGACGCTCGCTTGGTTTTACCTCAAGTACACAGGGTACGTCTTGCTTATGTTTTACCTCAAGTACACAGGGTACGTCATGCTCATGTTTTACCTCAAGTACACAGGGTACGTCATGCTTATGTTTTACCTCAAGTACACAGGGTACGTCATGCTTATGTTTTACCTCAAGTACACAGGGTACGTCATGCTTATGTTTTACCTCAAGTACACAGGGTACGTCATGCTTATGTTTTACCTCAAGTGCACAGGGTACGTCATGCTTATGTTTTACCTCAAGTACACAGGGTACGTCATGCTTATGTTTTACCTCAAGTACACAGGGTACGTCATGCTTATGTTTTACCTCAAGTACACGGGGTACGTCATGATCATGTTTGAAACTGGATGTTATCTCAAGGGGGATAATTATAGAACTGATTGTCTTTACAAGAGGAAGCTAAACAATTGAAACATTCTAGTGGAGGAATGTAGAGTTATCGACCTTAAGATCTAGAGATGTCTGAGACGTTTCTCAATTGTTGGATATTGCTGGCGGTGCGCACAAAATGACAGCAACTTCTTATTGCGTAGATTATTATTTACTCAGAAATCAAAAGAGATCTAATTTGAAAAGGCAGGCTCTCAACGAAAAACAATTACAAAAAAAAAACCGTAAAGCCTTATAAATTTCGTTTTGCCTGAAATTAGAAGCAAAAACAATCTAAACGTTAAAATAAATGTTTTATTTTTTTTTGTTGTTATGGATTTTGTTTTTGTCTCCTTTAATGAAAAAAAAAATCTCCGCCTCTAATTTCAGCGGGGCTCGTTCCTCGCAGGAAATAACCAAAAGTTTTGTAGAAATGGCTTCTTGCAAAAAGGTCCCCTCTAGCCATTGACCCGCCTCAACAACCCAGTAATCAGCTATTGGCTAGATTTTTGTCCTCTATTACAAATCTCGCTTTAATTTAAAACAAAAACATTTTTTATCGACTCGGCTGATAGATTGGATTTCTCAGTCTCGATTGCCTATTTCAACAGAGGGGATGGGTTCACAGTTTTTTTATCACACACCAGGAAATGTTTGTATTAAAACAACAGGCGTAGATTTACATGGCGAAATAAGGAGCTGAGGGAAAAAGATTTGTATATATACAGAGGTATTTGTATACATATTTATACACGCAACACACACATATATACATGTATTTGTATATATATATATATATATATATATATATATATATATATATATATATATATATATATATATATATATATATATATATATATATATATATATACATATAATATACATATAAAAATAATAATAATAATATATAAATATATATAGATATATATTGTATATAATAAACGTTAAGTATATATATATATATATATATATATATATATATATATATATATATATATATATATATATATATA